TGTTCATATTTTGGAGCTAAAGTTTTAAACGGATTCAAGTATGATATATTCCCTTTTTTCTAAAAATTAATATAAATATATGACTTTGAACTAATTATATAAAAAAATTTAACACACTCCGATCCGATTATCTATTTATCGAATGACTATATTTTCCAGTCCTAATTAAACCACTTACAGGTTTACATTATTTATACATCTTGTGTATATATATGTTTTTTACAACTAAACACAACTTCAAAACACTGATGGATTCTGTCGAGCATTGTGCCAGGTAATGGGTTAAATAAAAGCAACAGTAGTATACCGATGTTCGAAACTCATAAATCGATAGAGATAAAAACAAATCCGGGTCACAAACTAAAACTGAGGGAAACGCATCAAATATAAGAGGAGAACAACGACACAACAAAAACACAACATTAAAATGTAATACACACAGAAACGAACTATAATAAAACAATGGCCATTTTCCTGACTTGGTACAGGACATTTTAAGAAAAAAATGGTGGGTTGAACGCGAGAAAGAAGACGTAGATACTAATTTCGAATGGATTAAGACCAACATGTTGCAAAACACCTATCCTACTTCCATGACGAATATGTTGTTGTTCCTGCAGATTAAGCCCCAAACAACATCCTTTTTTGTGTGTAAATCACATTACATAAACTGATTGGTAAATGAATTAAGTATTGACAATTCTCTTGGTAACTCACCATATACCCCACAATTATTTCCAAGGAGGAAATCCTGGTTAATCATAGGTCTATTCTATATCCCTTTGGAATTGCAACCAATGAAAAAAAAACTGGATAGTCCTTCACTGTATTGGATACCTAAACTACATAAGAGTCCTTACAAACAACGTTATATGGCTGGGTCTCCGAAGTGCTCCACGAAACCTTTTCTAAATTAATTTTATCTGCAATCAAAGCCGGGCTTCAAAGGTATTGTTAAACTACCTATTAAAGAGGTGGCGTGACTCCGATGTGGATACTGAAAAATTCCAAATATCTTTTCGAGTACATACAATCAAAGACTCTTTCATCTTGCAATAGTATTAAAACATTTGACTTTTCTACACTTGAAACAAGTATTCCCCACTCCAAGCTTAAAGACAAATTGAAAGAATTAGTCCTGCTTTGTTTCATAAAAACGAATGGCCAATGTAGATACAAGTATCTTGTTTTCGAGAGGGATACATTGGGATTTGTAAATAATCCTTCTAATTCAACAAAAAATTATCTGAAACTGACATTATCAAGATGTTGGAATTCTTCATTGACAACATATTTTTTACGTTTGGAGGACGTTTTTTTGAACAAACAATCGGCAGGCATTCTCATGGGAACTAACTGTGCTCCTCTTCGTGTCGACTTGTTCCTTTATTGATATGAGGCTGACTTCATTACAAACTTAATCCCAATTTCATATTGTATTTTAAGAAATTTACCTGCGACGTCTCTTTTTGTGGCGTTGATACATTCGTGTTACGCACAGTTCATTATTCTATTGTGCTGTATTTGTGTTCTGTAGTAAATTAATTATAGGTGTTCGTTGTTATTCTGTTGTTCACATGTTAAAGTGGACTATTATTTTATTTATTTATGTATTTCTCTGTCCTGAATGTTCTTGCATTTATTTGTACTTTATTCCTGTCACGTAATGTTGTCATTTTAGCGGCATTTTTAACATCGCTATATAAGCGGGAGGTTTGGCTAGGCATAAAACCAGGTTCGACTCACCATTTTTTCTTAAAATGTCCTGTACCAAGTCAGGAATATGGCAATTGCTTTCACATAGTCCGTTTTTATGTATGTTGGCGTTTGTTTTTGTAGAAGTTCAGTGTTTCTGTTGTTCCGTTTTGTTTTCTCTTAAATAGATATAAGAAGATATGGTACGAGTGCCAATGAGGCAACTCTCCATCCAAGTCACAATTTGTAAAAGTAAACCATTATAGGTCAAAGTACGGCCTTCAACACGGAGCCTTAGCTCACACCGAACAGCAAGCTATAAAGGGCCCCACAAATGACTAGTGTAAAACCATTCAAACAGGAAAACCAACGGTCTAATCTACATAAAAAACGAAAAAACACTTATGAACCACATCAACAAACGACAACCACTGAACATCAGGTTCCTAGGACAGGTGCAAACAAATGCAGCGGGTTTAAACGTTTTAATAGGCACCAACCTTCACCCTACATGAAACAATAGTGTAACATCACAACATAGAAAGACACACTATAAAATATCAATTGAAATAGCTTAACTCAATCAAAAGACATATTAAAAAAAACAAGTGAACATACACTGAACGAATAAATTTTATAGTTGGTGTGTTGATGTGTTTCCCTCAGTTTTGGTTTGTGACCCGGATTTGTTTCAGTTAAATCGATTTATGACTATTGAACAGCGGTATACTACTATTGCCTTTATTCATACAGGAACTTCTTAGGAAGAAAGAAAAGGAGTAAGCAGTATCCTTTAACCTCGTTTCCCACCATATAGAAGATGTTCTCTCACTAAATAATTCAAATAGAGTGACTATGTTGAACGCATCTCGCATCGAAATGAATATAAAATATACATTATATACAGTTAAGTTTGCTTCATATGTTGACTTAAATCTAGAAATTGACAAGGTTGGTCGGTTGAAAACAAAACTTTACGACAAAAGAGATGATTTTAGTTTTCCAATTGTGAACTTTCCATTTCTATTTGATGTTACCTGGTAGAAATTCAAGACAGCTACTCATGTATTTAAAAATCCCTATTTGACGCTATTTTGAGAACAGTTGAGTTCATTGCATCCGTTTGTCAGGTTTAGAGGATGATGAAAAAAACATTTTAAAAATGAATAGGTAGTTATTCCGTCTATTACTGGTTATACTTCATTTGACAACTTGATTTTATATGACTGATATTTTGTCAAAAAGTACAGATTGACGATAAAAGGTTCGTTCTTGGTTCGGGATGAATGATTACTTGAAATATAAAAACATAAACGGTACCTTGTTTTTATTGATACCAAGATTTATAATAGCTTACAAAACAGAGGTTCTTGCATATGAAAACAATATCAACAATTCTTTAAGAGAAAATAGCCGCATATATATTTATCAACTGTTATGTTAAGACAAATAGATATAAGAAGATGTGGTATGAGTGCCAATGAGACAACTCTCCATCCAAGTCAAAGTTTATAAAAGTAAACCATTATAGGTCAAAGTACGGTCTTCAACACGGAGCCTTGGCTCACACCGAACAGCAAGCTATAAAGGGCCCCAAAAATTACTAGTGTAAAACCATTCAAACGGGAAAACCAACGTTCTAATCTATATAAAAAACGAGAAACGAGAAACACTTATGAACGACAACTACTGAACATCAGATTCCTGACTTAGGACAGGTGCAAACAATTGCAGCGGGTTTAAACGTTTTAATGGTACCAAACCTTCACCCTTATCTGAAACAATAGTGTAACATCACAACATAGAAAGACACACTATAAAATATGAATTGAAATGCACACTTTGTGGTTTATCTTATACATAATAAATTTTGCATACTTATTGTAATTTTTTATGTTTAAATACATGTTTGAACAAATAAGACAGTTGACGTTCGTTTTGTCTATTATCTACCGTTTCCTATCAACATTTTGAAGTTTTTGTCTCCAGTTTATGTAAAGATGTTCGACTTCGGTCAGAGTAAATATGATTCTGAAAATGGAAAAAAGATTCCGAAAAATTCGTTGGAAGTACTGTCTTGATAAATTGCATGCTCATATTGGTGATTTCGAATTTTGCATGGCAATACATAGTCCCCTACCGGTTAAAAATTCATTGTACTGGAACAAAATGCTAACTTGATCTATAACTTTTCGCGGTGTAAACTATTAAACAAATAGCAAGTCATTATCTTCAAGCATGACGAAAAAAAAGTGTGGAAAACTAATTATTTAAGTTAAATTTATAACTCCAAGGACCATACCTCTGCACAAAATCATCAGACCGGAACAAAATTCGAAATTGATCTGTAACTTGTCATGATAAAACTATATACCAATTATCAAATCAATATCTTCAAGCATGACGAAAAAACGTGCGGAAAACTGATTATTTGAGTGAATTTTCTAAGTCCAAGGACCATAACTCTGCACAAAATCATCAGACCGGAACAAAATTCGAACTTCATCTGTAACTTGTCATGATAAAAGTATATTCCAATCATCAAATCAATATCTTCAAGCACAAAGAAAAAAGTGTGGAAAACTGATTTGCCGGACTGACGGATGGACAGACAGACAGACGGACGGAGTCCAAACCTAAATTCCCCTTCGACTTCGTCGGTAGGGGAATAAAAAATCACACACCTAATTGAATAGGCCTTACGGTGACCTATAGTTGTTAATTTCTGTATCATTTGATCTCTTGTAGGCCTCATTGGCAATTATACCACATCTTCTTATTTTTATATTTAAAAAGCCTCGTTCATACATGTTTAAGTACAGCGTTATCTCAGTAATTTACTCTGATATGTCTCCGTGGTTGTCTAAAGTGTTTGCCTTCTTTCTGTATTTTGTTATTAGATAATAGTAGTTGGACAACGTATAAGAGTATTAAAAAATTCTATTTTCCGATGAATATTATTTGTCGACATTACAACCACGGCTCTGTTCCACCATGTAGAGATATGACCTGGTTGTCATCTAGCAAAAAAGACATAATCTTAAGCTGCCAGCGAAATCAAATGATCAATACATTAATTGATTTTGGTTTATAACCTATTGTGAAATGTTGACTGAATAAGGATTCGAATAAAGTTGTTGTATGCATAGCATGAGTCGTTTATCCGATCTACACACCGGTCCCGATCTGTTTGGACCATTACTCTTTCAAAAAAAAATTTATATATACGTAGTTTACTATTCTCTCACGTACACTACAACCGATGTAAATAGTCAGATAGAGGTAAAAAAAAATCAACCTTTGTATGCTTAAGTAACTACATTTGAAATGTATAAGCAGTTAAAAGTTTATATAAGACAGTTTTCATGATATGGTTGTGCCCCCGTTGTGCAATTATGTTTGAACGATCCACATTTATATTTCGTACATTATTTTTTACAAGAAATTTAGTGTCAAATAGTCTGAAAACAAAACATGTTTAGTCTGGTAAAACATATTCTGGCTTACATGACCCACCATATGTTCTTACAAATATACAGTCCTTTGCTAACCCTTTATGAATAGAGAGAGCATACTCTTCATCGTTCCTGTTCCATTTACTTACATCTGAAGTACATTCGCACGATGTACATCTAACATGGTCCTGTTTACCGTCAAAACTGAATCCTGCACCAACTAATTGTTCAGGTTTTACTGTCTGCTCTTCATTCCAGATAACGCCTTTTGCGTTATTCCTAGATTTGAAGGTAGACATGCGTTTCATATATGTATTCGATTGTGACGGTCTCTGAAGATCTAAAACCTCGTCTGCAATTTCCCTGATCTTCGGCAAGATCAAATCATTATCTGAAATCCAAAGATAGGATGAGCGTTTTAACACTTGAAGCCCCAATCGCAACAAGGTGGGTGTGATACGACTTACAACTTCCAACAATGATTTCGATCTTTTACGAATTTCACCAACTAGATCGAAAGCCTCTAAGGGTACGTGTTGAAAATATTCATTGTTCTTTAGCTTGGTATTTTTACTTTTATGTCTTTCTGGTCCTATGTGGTCGTCTGTACATGCATGGGATACATCGTCTGTCAAACTTCTTATATAACGGTCTAACTCGACAGCCTAGAAAGTAATTAGAATTGAGCAATTGTATATATTTGATTGCAGTTATACATCATTTTTTGTAAAATTGTTTCGTGTAAAATAAATGTTTGGACATTTATGAGATAATTAATACATTTGTTCTCTGATTCTTGAAATTAATTCAAAATTTGTGGAATAACGTTACACATATCAGTTGCAGCTAGTAGTCCTTTGTTAATTTATGTATCATTGTCATTTTGGTTAGTTTCTTCTATTACATATTCTGACATTGGACTCGGACTTCTTTTAAGCTGAGTTTTACTGTGCGTATTGCCGTGTGTTTGTTTATTGTACATTGGCAAGAGGTATAGGGGTAGGGTTGAGATCTGACAAAACATATTTAATCCCAGCGCATTTTTGCGCTTGTCCCACATCAGGAGCCTCTGGCCTTTGTTAGTCTTGTTTGTTTTTTAATTTTAGTTTATTTATATGTTTCGGAGTTTAGTGTGACGTCCATTTTCAATGAACTAGTACACATGTTTGCTAAGGGGCCAGCTGAAGCCCGCCTCCGAGTGTGGGATTTTCTCGCTGTGTTGAAGACCAATTGGTGGCCTTGGGCTGTTTTCTGATCCTAGGTCGGGTTGTTGTCTGTTAAAACACATTCCCCATTTCCATTCTCAATTTTACATGTGTGACAGATGAAACATTAAAACTCAAATGTGTCATGCTAACCATCTGGATCCATGTATGGTACGTTGTGCATATTGCACACATAAAGAATATTTAGCATTTGTGTTCATGGTATTTTTAACAATTTCAATACATAAAAGATATTTGTAAATGCTATCTACAAATCATACAATTAAGAGATAATTTACAAGGGCTTGTATTCATTTGATTTTATCATAGGTTGGCCCAAACACTAACCTATTTTACCAAGAGCGATAAATATTAATCATAAACGTAATTGAACATACTACTAATATTGACATTAAAGACGAAGACAACTGAATTATTGACACATTTAAAAGATTTACAACAACATGCTTAGACAGGTTAGGACGAAGTTAAATGTTTAAAAAAATGTCATTATTGTCTGTGTCTCCGGCGGTTGAACTTTGTCATATCAAAATAGCACTGTTTTGGATGCGCATCGCCTCAAACATGCAACAATGCATCTATCTTTTATTTAAGCAAATGGGCTTTTAAGAAATTCGTATCATCGTTTGTTTATAACGTATGTTTCCATGTTTCGACGAATCTAACGTTCGTGATTTTCCTTTACAATGCCTATGCTTTTACATCATAGTGATAGTTGGTCGTTGAATGAAGTCATTAACCCCGATTGACAACAGTTAATTCATTCATAAAAAAGTATACGACGTGGGAGTATGCTCAGAACAGCTCAAACAAATCATGACGTTGCTGATCAGATGAAATAAAATATATTCGTATTTTACAAAGGGTGTGTACTCCAAGCGTTTGAAGATCGGCTTAATTTACACGTCGCGCATGCGTTTCTGGTAAAATGTTCAACTTAAAACGATGATACAAATTCTTTTGTATATTAGCAATGAACTATTATTATTTTAGAAGCTTCTAGCTGTAATCTGCCCGGTTTATTTCAGCTTTAATTTCTCAATTACGATTATTCTGTCGTAAAACGTTTGTGACAAGTGGAATATGACTGTCAACATGGACAAATCAAATATTGTTGTACTTAAGAATGGAGGTAACTTGTCTGAAGATAAGAAGTAGTACTTCAAAAATGAACTTTTTAAAGTGCTAAGTTATTATAAGTATATATATAAATATATTTTTCGAATAGACTGAAATGAAATTGCTGTTGCAAATGCTAAGAATGCAGTGTGTAAAAGCTCTGAACATGATAAAACATTGGAACTAGAGATATAACTCTTGGATTTAAATTGTTTGACTATATGGTTGCTCCAATACTTTATTATGGTGCTGAATTATAGGTTACAGATAAAGTGAAAAACATTGAAAGTGCTCAAAACAAATTTTGTAAATGGTTACTAGAAATGAGTTGAAAGACTAATAATCATATAGCAAGAGGTGAATGTGGCCTCAAATGAATTTGGTGTTGTAAGGGAAAATCAAGGTGTAGGAGATACAAAACTGTGTATGAATTTATTCAAACAGAGACTTTTAAAAAGATGTTTTACAAAGTAGGTCAGATTACATTGGTAACTCCTCAAACTGTGCATTTTACTCAAAAATTAAAGCTTATATACATATATATAAGTCTAAAGATTTGCACAATGGTACTAATATAAGATATAAGATGGTAATATACGATGATGATGTTATAAAATCTTTTTCTATACATCTATAAAATCATCCTCGTATATTACCATCTTATATTAGAACCGTTGTGCAAATCTTTAGACTAATATAGTTTTTCCTTATCTGCACAGAATCGTCTATTCTAGACAATCCGGTACATATCAAATTTGCTGGTTGGTCCTTTTTATAGACTTAAATATATGTGTGTGTGTGTGTGTGCGTGTGTTGTATTGCTTAAATATGTTATTATTAAACTGAAGTTGACATCATAAATTGTAAACTTAGAAATATACTATGGGCTAGAGTCCTTTTTTGTACTGTAAACTTGATTTGATTTGAAACTTATTGGCAAAGAAGCAGTTCGTTTTGAACTGCAACTCATGTTTGTGATCTATTAAGAGTGTTTGTTGAGCGATCTAGATTTATTTTTTTCACTTTGATTTGCTATTTACCATTAAACATTTCAATGATGTTCAAGGCTGATTTGATATCTTCCATATGGTCCTAATAATTAACCCTTTCTTCAGCAATTGATTTGTTTTAGTATAATCATTTGATCACTTACTTATAAAAAGTCGAAAAGTAATGTTAACGTGTATAAAAAAATACAACCTACTTTAAATTCCCCAAAGAAGTCAATTGCAAATTCATTCGATATGTCCACAATAGAGTTAGATATCTGGAATAAAATGATAAATTTTTATATGGCAAACTGTTTATTATATAAATACAAATATCTTTAATCATGTTAATATCGTCAACAGTACGTAAAACGAATTTCAATCCCGGCGTCTACCGTACCAAATTATAAGCCTGGTATCTTTGATGAGTTTTTTAAGATCTTTCATGTATATGTACTGTATAACAATTTTGCTCATATGGGAGATGCGGCATATGAATCAATGTCGATCAGTAAATAAATAAGATGTAGATAAAAACAATTATACATTAAATCAGTCAATTCTAAATCAACGTCATAACTTATCGAAATTGAATCTGGAAATCATGTAAACTACATATTTAAATTTCATTTCATCAAAGTGGGACCAGACCAACCCATTTGCCTTTTGTTTTTTCTTTGACTGTATAAAAATACCTCACAATTATTTGTAGAGCCCAATTAATTTCATCTTTTGATTGATAAAATAATGTTAAAATAGGCGACTTATTTTCCTGATCTAAAATTAAAAACAAATTTGACAAACAAGATCAACATACCTCAATTATGACGTTACCTATCACTTCATAGCATATGTCAATCAAATCTTCAGCTGCCTGTGAAAATAAAAGCATTTTGTTTACTATTACACACCTTTCTATTATAGTCAAATTTATATTCCAATTCGTTTTTCACTTATGTTGATACCAATTCTTGACATAGTGTTCAATGTTGTATTCTTTTCTATTAAACCCCTTCTTGACCTAGTGAGTGTTCATTGTTGTATATTCTCTGTTAATTCCTTTCGTTACCAGCTATTTATCGAGGCTTATATTTTGTAGATTTATCCTTTTTTACTAGCTGTTCGTGATAGTATGATATGAGTGAAATATACATTTTGTAGGGCTTAATTGGTAGCGACTTGATGACTATCTATTTTACCAAAATTTGTAATAATATCAAGAAATCAAACACGGACAGGAAGTCATATTACACTTAAGGGACACTTTTTTTTGTCTTGGATTCCAAACGTTAATGATATTTGTACAAGAGATAGGAAGCTCGGGACCTTTTGATTGTCGTCCACGTTGGCTTTGATGAAAATAAGACAGGAAGGTAACATGGGGGAAATACATAACCGAAAAAGGCGGACAACACAATCACCGACAGAAAAAAAACCCAGAAAAACAACAGTCAGCAAAACTTTTTGACATAGAACAAAATAGAAGGCAGTACTTACCAAAAAAAAAAACAAAAAACAAAAAAAAAACAAATAACAAAACAAAACAACAACACATCGGACAATTCATTTCATTGTTTAAAGCATTCCTGTGTTAGTCTTATACAAGTGAGAGGTTTAGCTAGCTATAAAACCAGGTTTAATCCACCATTTTCTACATAAGGAAATGCCTGCACCAAGTCAGGAATAGGATACGAAGAGGCGTACCTTTTGTCCAGTTTTTATAATTCTATCTATGGTTTTTTGAATTTTCACTTTCAGTTTTGAAATGCGCATTTTCTGATGTATCTTCCTTTCTTGTGTCCGAAATATCTGGTCTGAAATAATTTTCTTTTTTTCTGAAATAAAAATGTATCCACTAAAGCTTAAAAACAACAAATATTTGTGCAAACATCTGTTTTAATGATATAAAACAATAATAGGGTTACCGACTTCTTTTTAATGGTAAACTGCATTCAAATTGGTGTTTTAGATGCAACAATACCACAAAACGTGAAAATAAGCATAACGCAATCGCATTGTAGGCCGTGAAATGTTGATTGTTTTACGTTTTAAACTAGGTAACAGATTGATAAATACATCAAAAATGAACACGGTGACCATATAAAAATAAGAAGATGTGGTATGATTGCCAATGAGACAACTCTCCACAAGAGACAAATTGACAGCTATAAGTATGACTATTTCATACATTAAAATGAAAATTTATGCATCAACGACATATAGTTTTTAAGCAAAATCTTTGAATTTGAAATAGGACATTTGATGATTTTGAGATAATTAAGAACGTTTTTCGCCTATTTTATTTTCTATACAAATATTTTGAATATGACAATTGTATTGACTTGTTCTGTTGATAACTGATTGGTTTAATTTGTCAGTTTTTATGACCTTCTCCTTTTTGAATTTGCCTTGGAGTTCGGTATTTTTGTTAAACTTTTTTATTCACCTATTTTGAAAGATTTCAATTAGTAATATTTCAGAAAATAGAGGGATAAATATATATTATTTGCTCCTTTTTAAGTTATAGTTCAAAAGCAAAAGCTGTATGGAAAATTGTATCAAAATCTATGACAGCCAATTTACTGTTCCTTGACCTGGCTTAAGTTCGTTTTGTGTTGATGTTTTAAACAAGATGTTAACTTTTATTTCGATTTGAATTATGTTATGAGGGTATGAATGAATAACTTGTGCGTTTGTAAAAAAAGTTTAACAGAAATACCGAACTCCAAGTATGTAAAATGTATTTGTGCAACCGATAAATCATACTTAGTAAGATTTATCTTTATTCTTTTGTGTTGGACCTAAAATTATATTTTAATTTTTTCGCGTACAATATAATAACGTTTCATGCTATCGTTTATTTATGACGAACATATCTTCTTTTGTCATCATTTTGGTGAATTAACAAACGCCAAAAAACTATATCGTTTCCTTATAGTATCGAATAGTTTCTGATCGTTAATTCTGGGTAATCGAATAAAATATATAGTCTGTTCACCAAGGAATAGTGTTTGGAGAATTGTGTTGTTAGATTGCCGTTGAATTGACCATAATCAAAGAATTTCTTGTACTTATATGTGTTTTACTTTAATCCTCTATTTTTAAACAAAGAATCGGAAAGTGTACATATGGAAATCGACTTTCGTGTAGTTAATCTGTTCGAAAATTACAAAACACATATTGACATATGCTTATTTGTGATAATCACTAGAACATCCTGTTTATCACTATACAGAAATTTAATATGTTGGTGATGGAAGTAATTGTTACAATTTATTCATTGTTGGTTGTTGAAAGTAGGCAATAGAAAAATGAATAACTTTCACACCGTCACTTATATTTTTAACGTGATATGCATATTTTAAGTAGTTTTTCGAGATTTGAACGTATGAAAACTACTATAAACCTCTCTGTTTAACAGGAATGTTATCTTCAGTAAAAGAAGGCGTTGCATGATAATTACTGAAATCCAAACTACCGAAGTTTTATGCTAACCAACTACAATGTGTTTACGATGTGTATGTGTCTAAACATAAAAAAGACATTTTTCACGGTTCTATGAGTTTAGATACCAAAATAATCGTCTTATTTATTCATTTAGTGTTTGTTCCCGATTTCCTTGGTGTGATATCTTGACTGCATGTGGATTTGCCGAACAGAAGATGCATACATAGCAGGAGGTGCTAATTGTGTCGATGAATCTGGTCTTGCTATGTTTGGAAGTCAAGGGATTCCGATGATAATATTAACCATATCAATTAAGTATTTTAACCTTGATTTGTATATTCATACTGTAATTACAATATATGAAACTGTTAAAATACAACTGTCTCTAATGTATTCGGATTCTTACGACACCAAACAATCAAACAATCAATTAAGAAGAATTGGTCTAAAACAAATTATCTACTTTGGGATGATGGGGCCTCGGTGGCCGAGTGGTCTAAGTAGTTACTACTGTAATCACTAGCCAGCCAACACTGAGGTTGTGAGTTCGAACCCCGCTCGTGCGGGTGCACTCGACTCCAATCTTAATTGACTAGGATTGTCAGTTTTCCTATCGAAGGTCGGTGGTTTTCTCCGGGTACTCCGGCTTCCTCCACCAATAAAAACTGGCCACCACGAAATAGCCCAAAAGCGGTGCTTAAAAGTGGCGTTAAAACACCAAAAATCAAATCAAATCTACTTTGGGATGAATGACATGAAATGCGTCTAGGTTTAAAGAATCAAACTTACTCTGATGGTTCAAAGTGAAATCCTCATATAAAAACTGTAAAAAAGAAATATGATGATCTCATTTATTTACAAGATGAAAAATATATAGTTTGGAAAGAAACGCACACATTCAATCTTAAATGCATGTTTCCTACAATCAAAATTGAATCATATAGCCTGACCCATAAGACATTATGCACGCAATTAAAACCCACAAGTCTTGTCAGTGTGAGCATTTTGTAATCGTTGATCTCAATATGCACAAGAAATGTTTATAGTTGATTCATACATCGTTTTATTATAACACTTTGTTCAATTTTTGTCATCACAACTATTCGTGGTAAATTTAAAAAGGTATGTCACTTTTACAATGCAATATGTCAAAATTAATCCTCTCATAAGAATTAACAAACGAAAACACGCTTAAGTCAAACTGAAAGGGATGTAGTCAAGATTGTATAAGAGAGGCGAAAGATAACTTAGGGATATTCAAACTCATAAGTCGAAAACAGACTGACAACGCCATGGCTAAAAAAGAAAAAGACAAACAGACAAACAACAGTACACAAACTGAACATAGAAAACTAAAAACTGAGCAATACGAAGCCCACCAAAAACTGGGGGTGATCTCATGTGCTCCGGAAGGGTAAGCAGATCTTGCTCCACATGTGGCACCCGTCGTGTTGATCATGCTAGAACAAGCCCGGTAATAAATCAAATTCGTTAGGTCACATTCGGGGAAAAGGGGACAGGATTGTAGTGACGACAATTGGAACATATCATCTATCATATGTGAAACGGATATTCCATAACGGTCAACCAACTCGAGATAGCGTCCGTAAAATGTACGAAGGGATAGTTTCAACTTCATCACTTGGAACTCTTGGTTTAATAGCTTCCTTGTGGGCAGCAACCCTCTAATTCAAGCCCTGTAATATCGTATCAACTGGGAGATATATACTCCGTATGCAGGCGCTGCTGGAATGTTGCTACGTACATGTCATGGCAAAAAACGAAAAACGACGAAAAGACAACAACAGTACACAAACCACAACATAGAAAACTAAAGACTGAGCACTACGAATCACATCAAAACCGGGGATGAGCGCAGGTGCTCCTGGATGGTAAGTAGATCCTGCTCCACATGTAGCACCCAGTATTTTCTTCATGTTAGTGCAAACCCGGTAATAAGTCATATTCGGTAGTGATTTAGTGTTCAATGGTGTATTCTTTTCTGTTTATCTTCCTTCTTGCCCTAGTGTACAATATGAATTCTTTTCTGTTTATCCCCTTCTTGACCTAGTGTACAATGTTGTAGTCTTTTCTGTTTACCCCCCTCTTGACCAAGTGTTCAATTTTGTATTCTTTTCTCTTTATCCCCCATCCGGACCTAGTATACAAAAAAGTAAAAAAAAAATAACAAAAATAACTGAAAAATGAAAAAAAATTGATATTATTTTATTCATGACGTGTTTGTTCAAATTGCCGCCTTAGCTGTCACTGACATAAGATCACGTATAAACACGTATCCAGTGCCTATTAGAAGATCGATTTGAGTTAAAATTATATTTCATGGTTTTAATTATGACATTTATTTTGCACTATACTTTGTAGATGAATATCAATTATTCTTTATTTTAAAAGCTTATTTTTTCGTTATTCTATTGATTGAGTGTTGGTTGTTAAACGTCCAGTGGCAAATATACATGCATGTTCTAGACGAGAACAAATTAACAATGAATACAATATGTAGATCCTGTAATAGGGGCCGTCCTGGATGAAGGTCTGGGAAATTTGGACTGCCACCGAAAAATGAGGGTATAATTGATAGGAACAGAAATTTTGCCTTGCAGCAGGCCACCTACGGACCTAAACGTGCACAGACCGTGGCGAACTCTTCACACGAGGCATCGGTTTTAACGTCCCCATTCTGAATGGACGTAACTGCGTACCTGTACATACCGCACAACCAAATGGACACCCCACTATGGCAAGGGTTTTACTGCTGTTTGGAAAAACCCAAGAGTGACCATATTTCTATTCCACAGTCACATTTGGGAGATCGTTATCCGATGATCTTTCTTCTTTCCTTATCTATTTATTTATATTTTTGTGGGGAAAAATATTTTAGAAGGATAATTTACTGACAAGTTCGGAATTGTCACTTGACTAAAATAAAAAAATTGAGATAAAAAATACTGCTTGCATTTAATTTCGTCGTCAAAGTTTTGCATTTATTATAACATTAAAAGATACAAAATTCCCCATATAGGATGTTTTTAGAAGGTGTGCTGGATTAAGGATTGCTCTGTGTTGTCTTGTTTAACGAGAATGACAGTTTAAAATGCTATTTGAGTCCAGATACAAAAGAAATTGCAAGGGAAAATATTTTATATCATTGAAGTACATTACATGTAACTTATAGCATTTTATCCATTTTATATATATACAATATTAGAATACACCCGCGACATTCCGTTTGATAAAATTCTACGGAAAGATGACACAGTTAAATCAAATAGATACATTTGTTTTCTGCTCTGAAGTCGAATTGTTGTCTCTTTTAAAGATTACCCGTTTCCATTCTCAATTTTTATTAGTGATCGGAATTTCTGCCTCTGACAAAAGTATCTCGAAATAAATAACACAACTATGCTAAAAAAAGTAAGTCGTGTACACGTTTTACATTCCGGTGTGTTTGAAACTCCTGTTTTAACCTTATAACTTATAAATCAATAATGAGAATATCCTCTCGCTTCAGATTTCATGTTTTTATATTAAACTTGGGAGTAGACCCAGGGTGTGGGAGACAACTCTAACAAAGGTATAGGAAATCAAATTTTGCGTTTCAACTTACAATAGCAGTAATTGAAACAGTGATCAAGCATTTATGTGGTTTACATTTGGTAAACAGAATGGTGCGAAAATTGTATAATGTTCGCACCACCTGGCATTAAATAAAGGAATAACATTTTTTATTCACAGATTCAAAAATCAAAAGCTTATATAGATAGAAAATTAGCATGAAATGTTTTAAAAAGAACTATATGTACTAGAGAGTTTCTTGAATGACTCTTGACATGATTTAGATAAAATCTATGGAGGTTTCGGAAAATGTGAATGGGACAAAATTGTTTTAAATGCTAAATAATAAGTTTTCAGTGCTAAGCAATTGGTTGTTTGGATGTACTCAACTGTATATCTTTGGTTTTCAAATACAAACATTCTCTTGTGGAGAGTTATCTCATTGGCATCATAACACATCTTCTTTTTTTATATAGCAATAGTTTAGACGATATGACCTGAACATCCATCCTAACACAAGCTAATGCTAACAGATAATCTACATTAGCACACAGATAGTACTTAGATAGTGACAGACTGTCAAAACATTGAATTTAGCGTCTGCTGAAAGGGACATTTTTATAATCCTGGGAGGGAAACCAACATGACGTATTATAATGTTGTTATGTCAATTCGCATACTGAATTTTGCTGCTTTTCCTTATAAACTTGACTACAGTTATTATTTGGACCTCTGCACACAAAAATAATGCAAACAGAAACTTTAGAAGGTTTTATAGAAAAAACTAAAAATGTCCCTTTTTCTTAGGTCTGTAAGCCAAATTGTTTGAAGATTTGTAAATTTCAAAGGTCAAATTCCGTAAAAGTTTTTTCAAGGTTAATAAACAATAATATAATTGTTTCAGCAATTTTTTTGCAGGAATTAAACGATATTTTTTTTCTGAGAAATTTTGAAAAATAAATGTGTTATCTGAGCTGGCCAGATTTGTCGACTTATTTGATAATTTGAAACCATGTATTTACATTCAGGCTACAAATATTATCATGAGATTTCAGATTAATATTAAAATATGTTTCTACTACGCATTTTAACAGTCAATGAAATTCCTAATGACAACATGTGCAAAAACACACAATAATATATGCCTAATAGTGTTTTAGCCGTTTTTAGGGTATTCCAAAACTGGTCATATTCATTATACCTAAACATAAAATTCAACGTAGAGCTTTGGCAGAGGATGCATTGACCCCCAACCTTTCAATGTCTTTAATATAAGACAAATTAAACGACATGAAAATTACCAAAGCCTACCCCCTTTTATAGTTCTTAGAACTAATCCTTTCAGAACTATTTATATGGGTCATGCGGGATAACAAAGTAATGATCGATGCATTGGATAACCGGTACCCTTAAAAGTTTTTTGGTAATACAATCATCCAGAATTTAATAACGATATTTTTAAAGATTAAAAATAGCAGATAGGCTTAATATTTGTTCGTGTTTTGGTGAATTCCAGTGTCAGCTGTATATCTTTACTTTATGAGTTTTAAAAGTCCCCTAACTATACTTTATCCCTTTTTAAACAGCCTCCTTTGTTTTCACATTTTTGGGTTTGTGCGTTTCTGATGAAGTAAAAGCGAATCAAATCCTTTACGTGGGATTTCATTTTTGAGGATATGTAAGGTTTACCTTGTCAGATGAATGTAAGGCAAACTTATCCAAAGGAACTGTTGTAATATCTCTAGATTCTAGAGAATTCTGTAGAATGTAGAATTCTATCTAAAATATAAACAATTAAATTACAACCAACCAAAGATTTATCTTGCTGAAAATGAACTCATATATATAAGACCGCGCTGAAGTACGTCCATTATTCATTTTTCATTATTCAAAATTCAATAATGAATACTGAAATAGTTCATTATTCACTATTCAACGTTTAGAGATGAATGATAAATAATGAAATAGTTTATATTTCAGTATTCAAGTTGAAAAGTGAATAATGAAATAGAATTTTTTTTTTTTGACTGAGACACTATATCCCGTATTTCTGAATTCGTCATTTTGGTGTTATTTAATAAATATTCAAATTAATATAGGAAAAAAAATCAAAGCACTCTTTGAAATTTTTATCTTTATATATTTATTTAGTTTCGGAGGATAAACTAGTGGGTTTCCATAACTATGTTAAGTCCCACGCGTATTTTGGCATTTAGGTCCTCCGTAACCCCTCTAATGGGCATTGCGGCACAATAGACAAGTTATATCTATAATCAGGGGATGAAGAATAGCAAAGGTCCAGTGAAAATTAAAAAAGGCAATGTATAGTATTTTGATTTTTATGTATGTTTTGGTATTCAGGTCGTATACACATTAAACCAAGGAATTTCTGTTAAAAATAGTTAGGGAAACCGACTAGTTTATCCCCCGAAACTAAATAAATAAATAAAGATAAAAATTTCAGAGTGCTTTGATTTTTTTCCCTATATTTATTTGAATATTTGTTAAATAACACCAACATGACGAATTCAGAAATATGGGATATAGTGTCACAGTCAAAAAAAAAAAAAATCTATTTCATTATTCACTTTTCAACTTGAATACTGAAATATAAACTATTTCATTATTCATTATTCATCTCTAAACGTTGAATAGTGAATAATGAACTATTTCATTATTAATTATTGAATTTTGAATAATGAAAAATGAATAATGGACGTACTTCAGAGCGGTATAAATAAGCCTAAAGCCGGATGAGGGCGATACATTACTTAATATAAACAGATTTTATAAATTTCACATCAGTATAATTGGGATTATCCGCTTTTTTTCCAAAGCATAAAATTACAATACAACAATATCCATAATAAATTTAATTACCTAAGTACTGATGCATACATTGATCTTTGTAGTAAAAAGGCAAATCCAATGTTTTTATTTTTTTTTCTCTGACATTTCGACTGCAACCGGATTGAAACAAAAGGGCGTATTGCATTTCCGCTAATTTTTCAAAGTTCCAATACTACGTTTCCGGAAACTTAAAGTATACGTTTCCAGAAATTGTATTTATTACTTTTCCGGAAATTTACCTGGTAGTAAATTATTAATATTTGAACATATGTTAGATAAATTATTTATTTCATATTTTTATACAAAAAAGGTTCTGATCTTATATCTACAATATACTAGATATAAAAAAATGAAAGTGTCACCATAGTGAAAGATGATGATATCGGAATCGTTATATTTTTATGTTTTACCAACTTGAAATGTCTATGATCGTCTATGTAAATAACTGATATTTTCATAGATGGCACTTACTATCCACTTACTTCCACTTTTTATCAAAATGTGGGATCTGCTTATTGATGTGTGCACTACCCGATGACTAACTCTCCCGCCCGAGGTAGATCAAATTGACCGTGGCTTTGAATGTGCAATGCATACTGCTGTTACAAAAAATTTCATGCTGCTACAATCAGTTTCATTTAGGACAAAGTTCAAGGTACTTCTTAATTATTTTCTCGAAAAAGTAATAATTTATTTTTTCCGGAATCGTTATCATTTTCTCGGAAAAGTAAGGTATTCATTTCCGGAAACGTATACTTTATTTTGCGGAAACGTCATCTTTTTTTCCCGGAAAAGTAATGCCAATTTGCGGAAACGTAAAACGCCGAAACAAAAGTATAGCTTTAACAGCTATTGCTTGGGGGCAAAAAAGTAATAAGTCTTTTTTATTTGTTTTGTTACTAGTGACAAATTCCCGAGTCATGCATTCCCAACTCTAGCTTGTTTTTCTAATGTTTTTTGATAACGTACATAGAGTTATGAGGGACCAATTATTTATAGAATGAAAAAGGTAATGTTTCAAGTCAACGAAAATGTACCAAAACATATCACCGAATTTTTTTTCGCTTTCGATAAGTTGTTCAAACATAGCTTACTCTAAGCCGGTTTTAGACGTTGTCCAACCGGGCAAAATATTCAAGTTAGTCCAACGGGTAGGATAACAGTTTTCACAACTGATGCGGGAATTGCTTACCGATTCGAGATTGGTAAGTTCATCCCTAGTGTTTGTGGGGATCAGTGATTCTATTTCTTGTGAGTTTTAACTGTTGTATGTCATTTTGTATTTTTCAAGTTGTCCTTGTATTGTTTATCTTGATTAACGTTATCTTGTTTTCTGGTCGTATCTTGCCTATTTTGCCATGACAGTTGTAGTGAGTTGACATTTTCTTATATTCTATTTCTGAAATGTCATTACGTTTGTTTTACTGCTTGTGATATATGTGAATATTTATCTGTTCCCTTACGTTAAACTTAAATCATGTTTGTGTTTACTTGGTTTTGATTATTTTTCTGTTTCCCAAAGGTAAACATATGGAAGACAAAGTAGTAGAGTCGGTCAAAACATTTTATTCTAATTATTTCAATTTTTTCAAATATCTCTTTATTCGCTTTGAAATTACGCTAAAAAAGAGGCAGAAGAAACTAAAAAGACAATCAAAACTCACTTTTTAAGAGAAAATGACAACACCATGGTCTACAAAGAAACATGCAGAAACAAAGACTGAATAAGAAAAACACCAAAACCCGGAAAGGGAGGTATCAGGTTGCCCTGATTGTAAAGCAGGTCCGGCTCTACATGTGACAACTTCGCTATGATCACAGTGAGTACAGTTTCAGTGTTACATCTAAAAAGGTAATTTCACAATGTGGGCAAGGAGGCTAGGATTGTAGGTAAAATAGATGCAACATTTCCTTGTTTATCTATGATACAGATCTTCAATAATAGTCAACCAACACAAGATTGAATCAAATTAACTTTGTGAGGGATGATTTCAGCCTTACCTCGCCTAACCCTTCGGTTCAATAGCTTTCTCGTAAGCAGCAACCCACTATTGAGAAAATGGCAGAAAGGCAAGCTCTAAAATATCGTATCAAGTGGGAGATATACTCAATATGCATTAAAGTTGCAATTCATTCTCACAAGGGCTACAATTTGATAAGAGATGCAGAAGAGTAAAACATATATTTACCTTATTTACAATCAGGAAAATAACATTAGACTCTAAATCATAAAACAACTACACTCGATATTCCAATATATTTGAATACAATTTGAAAATGCAATATCCAGGTTGAAATGTATTTAAAAAAAAACAACAACAAAAAACACATTTACACACAAATGTCAACTGGAAAAAATAGAACGTGCAAATGAGCAAAAGCATTTTCATGAATGCCCAGTATGTAAAAAAAAAATTCGTAAGGGTTCCGCGGAACCCAGTGTCTCGCCTACTTTTTCTGTTAATCACAGCTCAACAAAAATGAGGAAGTAAATCAATAAAAATATTCCTCTTGATAATATCTTTTGATTGTAAGAAGCTTCTGTCCAAGTTTGGTAAAAATCCAGGATAGTTTATGAATCTAATAAATGTTTAAAAACTTTAACTGCAGACTGAATGTAATGTTAACTGGAAGAAAACAAAATTTCCTTCTAGATACTAGCATTTGATCATAAACAAGCTTCTGTCCAAGTTTGGTACAAATCCAAAATAGTATAAGAAAGTTATTAAAATTTTAAAAACTTTAACCACAGAGTGAATGTGTTGTTTCCTGGCAGAAAATCTAAGTCCATTTAAAAGTAAAATACGGAAAAAATGGATTTATTTTTTTACAAAATTTCCTTCTAGATACTAGCATTTGATCATAAACAAGCTTCTGTCCAAGTTTGGTACAAATCCAAAATAGTATAAGAAAGTTATTAAAATTTTAAAAGCTTTAACCACAGAGTGAATGTGTTGTTTCCTGGCAGAAAATCTAAGTCCATTTAAAAGTAAAATAAGGAAAAAATGTTTTTTTTTTTTTTTTTTAAATTTACTTCTGGGTACTAACTTATGATCATAAACAAGCTTCTGTCCAAGTTTGGTAGAAACCCAGGATAGTTTAAGAAAGTTATTAAAATTTACAAACTTTAACCACAGAGTGAATGTAATATTTCCCGGCAGAAAAACTAAGTCCATTTATAAGTAAAATACGGAAAAAATGGAATTTTATTTTTACAAAATTTACTTCTGGATACTATCTTATGATCATAAACAAGCTTCTGTCCAAGTTTGGTAGAAATCCAGGATAGTTTAAGAAAGTTATTAAAATTTCAAAAACTTTAACCACAGAGTGAATATTTGTGGACGCCGCCGACGACGACGACGACGACGACGCCGACGCCGACGGAATGTAGGATCGCTATGTCTCGCTTTTTCGACTAAAGTCGAAGGCTCGACAAAAACCGGAGGTAAACGCTATCTAATGAAGTTAACCGTAAATAGTTGATTACGTTATTGATGAATAGACAATTTGAACGTGACATGCCAAAATGCAGCATATCAATATACAGGAAAACATTACAAGAGGTACATATTCTCGACACGAAAAGCTCTAAACATTGTTCACTTGTTATGTATAAGGACAAGAAAAAAAAAGATATTTCATCTGTTATTTGTATGAATCCTGAAAAACTACTTAAAACTAACTTCACAACGCCAGCGTTATAATGGATCAAATACAGCTGACATAATATAAACTTGCTTCAAACTACTTTGGATAATTCTAGGCAATAGTTATGGTAATACACTGCGGTAAGACATAATCTGGCTAAATGCGACTCTTAAGGCTATCAAAGCAACAAGCGAATGTTTTCTTGATTTAAAGGAATCTTATACCGAAATACATACTTCCTTGTTGTTCGAAAAGACATGTGGTATTCCACTAATTTTCAATCCATATGCATCTGCCATTATAACAATGGTACTGAAATTAAAAAAAGAACATTTAGACAACACTGTATCACTTATAGTGATTTATATATAAAGTCATGAATATTAACGATGTTTGTTTTAAGTTATATAAATATATAATTATGTTTATCTTATAGGACTTATCTACATATTAAATTAAAGCATTTTGTAGTTTTTAAAACTAATTAATTATAGCTTTTCTATACTCGGTGGGACTTACAGCTTGACATGTGGTGTAAGAAGTTTGTATGTTGTTGAATATTGTATAATTACCTACATAGATGACTGGATTTTGTGGGTTATTTATATGGTGAGGTATGCTTAATATAACATTTTTTCCATGCAAAGACCTTATGTATCTTTTGTTGTGATGGTTACACTATCAAGGGTACTCACAGAGTATAACTCATTAAAGATTTGATATAATCAGAAAACATTCATATGGCACGGAGCCTCTCAAAGATCAAGTGAAAATGTTGATTCTGTATTCTTATGTTTTATTAAGTGGAGTCTTGAAACAAGTACCGACTTCTCAGTCCTATGTTGTCCTTTATAACTCAATTTGGACTCTTGTTTTGAGGATTTGCTGTTGATTTTTATAGGACGCCGATAATACATATCATGAGAATAGCTAGCTAATTATGTAGTACGCAAGAGTCAGGTTTCGTCTACCGTAACACCTATGTCAAAACAGTTTGAAGGTAAAAGCAATTAAAAATTAAAAAGAAGAGCCATGAAATTAGATAAAAAGGCGATGAATCTTGTTTAGGCCAATTATGGTTTCGGGAGAAACATTTAGTGTTTAACATTATTCAAATAGAAACCTATTATGTGCCTGACATATGAGACAACGCTCAACCAGAGACCTAATGACATATCAGTTAACAACGTTAGATCACCGTACAGCCTTCAATAATAAAATATATACACTTGCCTACTGTTCAATATCATATATATGACAACCTCTAGATAATTGATCCTCATAACTCTTTAAATACCGAGATTTGAACGTTTATCTCTTCAATTTATGTTTAGGAATCTGTTAGGACTGGAAATACATGTCATTTCTGATTCAATGCAGGAAACCATAAATTTCGTCTTTCAAATATAATAACACAGGTCTTTTGGATATCTAAAAACAATTGATATTACCTGGTTTCTGTTATTTTCTGATAAAGTACAGCTGCAATGCTATTCACATAATTCTGTGGTTGATCCTCTGATAAAATAGGTACTTTAATACTTCTTTTTTGAAATAACGATCCCTGAAATAAGAAGCCAAACAGTTTGCAAATAAACCGTTGAAATCTGTATAAATGATTTTCTGCTATGAGCTATGAAGAGAAAGACTTGTAAAGTGATTTTTGACCGAGGTAATTTTTACATAAAGAAATTCGATTATGTACTTTGGTAACTTTCTGTTTTTTTTTTTAAATTTTTTAAAAGTGCATATTTTTGTTTAGGGGCCAGCTGAAGTCCGCCTCCGGGTGCGGGATTTTCTCGCTGTGTTGAAGACCCATTGGTGGCCTTCGGCTGTTTTCTGCTATTTTGTCGGGTTGTTGTCTCTTTAATACATTCCCCATTTCCATTCTCAATTTTATTAATTTTTCTGAAAACTTTGAGCGTTCCTATTCTTTGTTTCTTTTTTAAGTTACCTAGGTAGTGTGTGCTTCAGCAATAACATTTTAATTGTAAATGTTATAAGTCTGACAAGGCTTGTATTTAATCAAGCAAATTTTTAAATTTCAAGTATAATATATTCCCTGATCAAATATTTACAAAAAGAGAAATCGTTTTTCTATGAATGTCTCACTCTTTGATGTCATTTTCATTTTTAGCATTTTGATGTGGAATATACGGTTAAATTTTAGTACATAAAAAGTTAATAGTGATGAATACAAATGTAAATTCCTTGAATAAACTAAACAAAAACAAAAAAATTATTTCACAAAATACTAGAATTATCAACCTTCTTATGGCTTTTATAATTTAAAACAAATGATAAACAATACCCCCTTAGAATAAGGTTTCCACTATACTAATATAATATAGTTTCTACAGCTTACACATGACTTTTGCAACATATTTTTGTTCATTCGCTGGTAGAACTTAGCCACAGAAGTATATTCACTGGAGAAGTTTTTTTTCTAATGAGAAAGAACCTTAATTCGGTATTGGCATGAAAATAAGGATAATTGGTTATTAAAATTTGCCGTTAAAAAACTTCAGAAATTATTTTTTTAATTAAGGAATAAATCTTCCTAATGCAAAGCCGTGTTTCCTGACCGGCTTTGGCTAGCCCTTTTGTCCTTTTTTGCATACAAACTCTTAATGTTTTTATTAAGCTTTTTATTTTCAAATATTGTGTCTTGCAGCATCACAGAAGGGGCATTTATTGTAGAAATTCGCCTCTGGGGCAGAAAAAATGGTACCGTAATGTTACTACAGAGGATTTTCCATGTTCAAATGATAAAAAAATATTATATAAAGGCTCCAAAGACTGTTGATTGCCTGCGGAAAATGGAGGAAATGTAGCTGACTCATCATGAACTTCCTTTTATCTACTTTCGAGTTTTCTAAGCAAACGTTATGGTAATACATTGCGGTTAGTTAGAAAAGTAAACCATACCGTCACGAGATCTTGCTTTATGCTTAATTAATTAAATAATAATACTTTTCAACTTGCATTAAAATGTGTATATATGCAACAGCGAATATTTAATACTACCTTGTTATTTACATCTGCATGTTTATTTCTAGGTAACTCCAATAAATTTGCATCTGCCATTGTGACATTATCACTGAAATTACATAAAGAACCATTAGACGGATCTTTATCATTTGTAGTGGTATATATTAGAAATCAGGAACATTTTCGATGGTTGTAAGTTATATCTTAAAAGCTTTTTTTAGGACTAAACTGATGAAAACACTTTCAAATAAACATTTTAAAACTAATTTAGCAAAGTTTTTCTAGAATAAGAGCTTGCCATGTCGTGTAAGACGTTAATTTGTTGTTGATGATGGTATTACTCTGTAACCTGTAGTTCACATGGTGAGGTAAACTGAATGTCACCGTTGCAATATGCAAACGTAGATTGGATTTTAATCACAATAACGGGAACTATTTGGGAATCAGTCAGAAGCCAACTACTGGAGGAGTAGCGAGACGTAACGAGAGGGAAAGAAATTGCGTTAAGTTAATTAATATGACCATCTCAACTTTGCGAAATTATATTCCAAGTGACTTACAGCAGTAATTAAACAGATGTTTTACACAGAAAAAAAATATAATGTAAAGGAGCTGCCCAATAAAGATATTGAACCTGTAATAAAACTCAATTTGTAAAGTTTTGTGACAAGCATGGATTTGTCAATCCTATATCGTCCTTTATAACTCAATTTTGATTTGCTGTTAATAGAAGATGTTTGAAGCAATCTATTTAAAACATCATGACAATAACCACACTTAACATTTATTTCGTCACAAACGGGTTTCGACTACCAGTACACCTGAACATATGGCTTGAAGAAAAAGCAATTTACAATTAAAACAAGGTTTGATGCATCTTGTTCGGGCCTATTATTGTTTCGAAAGAAAACTTTAGTCTTTAACATTATTTAAACTTAAACCGATTATAAGCCTGACATATTCAAAGCACACATGTTTACTGTTGAAGATAATATAACAACATTTAGATTATTGGTCCTAATAATTCCGAGATTCAACATTTATCTTTCAATTCATTAATAAAAAGCAGTGACGACCAGAAAAAAAATCAGTATCTAGATCAGTTAAGAACACCATACATCACTTTTTAAGAAAACATATAGCACAGGTCTTTTGGATATCTCAGTGAATTTGGGACAATTGTTATTACCTTCTTCCTTTTTCGATCTTATCAGGTAGAGTTGCAGTGATATGATAAAACTTTGGTTGAACGCTGTTCTGGTATTTCAAAAAATCAAGTCGTATAATACCGATTTCATGATTAACTGCTTGCTGGAATAAGAAGCGTAACAGTTTTTATATACTATATACTGTCTTAATATGCAATCTTACCTACTCAAAGATGTCATATTAGACAGTTGAAGTCTGAAAACAGATCTTTTTGTTATGAGTTGTGAAGAGTAAAGACTTGTATACCAGTAGTGCTTTTTGAAAAAGTTAGTTTTTGACAGAAATACAGAAATTCGATTTTGTACCTTGCTAACTTTTTTGATATTTTTAACAATTAATATCCCAAAAAAGGACATTTATTTTGTTGATAACGTTTAGAGTAAGATAAATCCCGAAAAAGTGATTTGGACGCATACATTTCATTGAACTTTTTTTCCTCATTTTGTATCCCTTTTAATTAACTGTTAACCTGCAATATTGTCCTACTTTGTGCTCTTCTTCTTGTGGGTATCGTCAGTAGTCGTCTTTTGATAAAGTAAGAAATTAATTCAAAACGAATGTTACCTTTGGTCATATAACTTTTGACGTTTCAAGGTATTTATACAACCAAGGTTTCCAAAGGTTAATCTTATAAATGCATAAAATGTTATTATATTTTTCAACTTCGTCAGGCAAATTTGTATCATCAGCTCAGTAGTCAGTACTTCAGAACTGACATGATTTATAACAAATCTTTCTAAAATTGCCCGTTTATAAATTTTGAATTATTAAGAAACAAATGTTTCAACTCCCTCATGCAAAGTTGACCTTAGATGGATTTGGCTATTTTTTAGGTATTTTTTGTCATAAAGCCCTTCGACTGTTTCGGTACTTATACATCCTCGGCTTTCAAATATTCGGCTTTGAGCGTTCCTGATGAAGGTAAATCCAGAAAAGCGCTTCGAACGCATGAAATTATTTAACGTGTTGTTTTTTTGTTTTTTTTTGTAACTATATGAATTTGCTTATTTTGTTTACATGCATTTTAGTCTTAGAGCTCCAGGATATTCAGATATTTATACATCCTTGTCTTTCAAACGTTTTTTTATTAAACGTTTCAGACGAATATTTATCCGGAAACACCGCTTCAGACGCACGAAATTGATAAAGTTTTTTTTTTCATTTACTAGACTTAGTTCAATATAACTGCTGATGAACAAGCAATACTTTAATAAGTTAAAGAATTACTTATTTCCGAATTAAATATTTACAAAAAAAGATATATCATATGAAAGTCTCATGCTTTGATGTCATTTTCACGTTTTGTATTTTAGTGTGGAACATGTGGGTTTAAATACATTATGAGTATATTGTGATGAATACAAATGTGAATTGAATAAGCTGAATTCAGCAATGAATATTCAAAGATACTGTACGTATCAACTGCTGTTCTAAATGCATTTGACTATTAAATACATATCTTATTTATTATTGCCCATTTTCTTCGAATAACAAACTAACAAGTTATCACAACTACAGGAATTACTCCTTACTCAACTCGGAATGATATCACAGTGGAAACTTCAGACAACTTTTGAATTCATTTGATCGTAACAAAAAGAGGAATGGTGGATAATTATATAGTTATACGGTACTAACATTTGATGATGACAAAGTTCTGATTAGTTTTAAATTCAAATAAGGAACAAGTTGTTGCTGGATATTTAGGAATATCAAATTGATTACTAATGTCAATGTTAATTTCTAATGTTCAAAATTGCAAGCAAACTCCATAACTTGAATTGGTCAATATCACATTTAGTAGAATTCCCCTTAAATGAAACATTTAACAGATTGCCAGATTCTTAACCAAATTATTCGCTAGTAACAAAACTTTCATGCATACATTTTTATAATATAATGTTGTGAACATTTGGTATTCTGATCGTGTTTTTTTTGTATATTTCTATTGTGTCAAGTTATCGAAACATAAGTGTTGATAGCAGTGGTTACTTTGGTTTCGAAAGCAATTGCGACACCTATGTATGAAGAAAAGGTAATTATTTGACAGCTTATTATTAAATCCTTCACTATGAAACCAGTTTCCAACAACTTGCATGCACAATGTATGTTTAATTTCGTTAATCAGGGAAAATATGGAAAAAGTCAACCGATCAAGGTCATTCGAAGGGGAATATCTCCATTTTTCGTACTTTTATTTATCTATCATTGACTATGAAAGGTATTTAATTGTATGTATATATCAAAAGAAGATGTGGTACAATGCATGATTGGCAATGAGGCAACTCTGCTCAAGAGACAAATTGACACAGAAATTATCAACTATAGGTCACTGTATGGCCTTCAACAATGAGCAAAGCCTATACCGCATAGTCAGCTAAAAGGCCCCACATTGACAAATGTAAAACAATTCAAACAAGAAAAATAACGGCCTAATTTATGTACAAAATAGTGAACAAAAAACAAATATATAACACAACAACAAACGACAACCACTGAATTACAGGATCCTGACTTAGGACAGGCACATACAGAATGTGGCGGGGTTAAACTATTTTGAAGGCGCCAACCCTCCCTTATCCTGGGACAGTGGTGTAACAGTACAACATAAGAACAAACTTTAAAATCAGAAAAAGGCTTAACTCATCAGATGGATACAAATAGAAATACATCTAACAAAAACACACAGTGGACGTTGACAGGTACTTCTGTTATTCTCGTCGGATTTTGTCAAACGTCTTAACGTCTTTTCTGTTATATTCGTGTGTTATGGTAAAGATAATTAATCACCCCTTCATTTATTAGATTTTAGTTTGGTTCAACGAAATTTATACGATATATTTGGTTTACAGTTTGATTCAGAAGAAACACCGACATAGCTAGATAATACAATTAATTATATAATTACTACCACAATTTGATATTATTAAGTATTGTAATTTTCATTGTTATTAATAAATGTAATGTCAGTATTACAAATCTAATCTTGAATCAATTCTCATCCTATCTTATTTTTGGGAAATATTTTTACAAATTCAAATGTGACGTCACGTTGTGTGTTTTTTTAGAATTTCAAATGTGACGTCACGTGCGTTGAGGCTTTGGCTTACTCGGCTGTGTATTTTTATGTGTTGGATTAAGTTGTTTTATGTAATGTATCCGTTTTTATTCTGTAGTTAGTCCCCACTACGGTTTTATCATGTATATCTATTATATAGTCATTTTATAAAATTTACTGTTTGCAAATTTATAAATTATTCTAAATAATAAGGATGTTCTTGTCCCAGGCAGAAAACCCTGGCCGTGTTAGGCGCAACTTTTTGGAAGTTTTGGTCCTCGGTGCTCTTCAGCTTTGTACTTGTTTTGGCTTTCAAACTTTTTTCATCTGAGCGTCACTGGTTGGTCTTGTGTGGACGAGACGCACGTCTGGCGTATTGAATTTTAAGCCTAGTACCTTTTGTTAGGTATTATTCATGTGTTTCTTTGTCCTATATGTTCTCCCATTTATTTGTATTGTGGTCCTGTCATGTGATGTTGTCGTTTTTGGTGTTGTGTTTGACGTTGCCATAAAAGCGGGAGGTTTGGCATGCCACAAAACCAGGTTCAACCCACCATTTTTTTGTTAAAATGTCCTGTACCAAGTCAGGAAAATGGCCATTGATATATTATATAGTTCGTTTCTGTGTGTGTTACATTTTAATGTTGTGTTTTTGTTGTGTCGTTGTTCTCCTCTCATATTTGATGCGTTTCCCTCAGTTTTAGTTTGTAACCCGGATTTGTTTTTATCTCTATCGATTTATGAGTTTCAAACAGCGGTATACTACTGTTGCCTTGACTTCATCCTAACAACGAAAAGACACTAAGTACAGATCTGAGAGTACTCGCAGTTACTGATCATTTGATATGAAATAATTGCATGAATGAACCTGTTTATCGTTGGCAAATTTTTATCAGATTAAAAAAAAAAAACAACTAAAAAATGAGCTTTATGCAATCAAAATTTAAAAAAATATACCCTCTGAGATTTTTTTTGTCAATAATGCACCAAATGCGATATTTCATACTGTTGATATAAGGTTATGACGCAAAATCTGGAATATTATTTTTTGGAGCATGAAGATGGCTTTTTTTGTGAATTTTTGCAAATCATGATTATTGGAAAAACCACAATTTTTTTTAACTTAAGATGATGTAATTTTCTGAAATTTCAAATATCATTTTGAAACATAAATATATGATATTTTAATAGCAAAAGAAAAAGTGGCAATATATGTTTAGTTTTTTTTTACATTCAAAGTGGTAATAAAATGCTCCGCAGGGCGCAGCTTGATACGACCGCAGAGGTCGAACCCTGAACAGTTGGGGCAAGTATGGACACAACATTCAAGCTTGATACAGCTTTGCATTTGGATTGTGATTAAATATTTGACACAGCATAGGTTTCTGACACAGAGTGAATGTGGTCTCAGAACTTAAAAATTTTAAATTGGACATTCACCTATTATGGTCCAATATCCAAAATCTAAATACATGGTTAGATTCAGCATATCAAAGAACCCCATATATTCAATTTTTGTTGAAATCAAACAAAGTTTAATTTTGGACCCCGATTTGGACCAACTTGAAAACTGGGCCCAAAATCAAAAATCTAAATACATGTTTAGATTCAGCATATCAAAGAACCCTAAGAATTCAATTTTTGTTAAAATCAAACTAAGTTTAATTTTGGACCCTTTGGACCTTAATGTAGACCAATTTGAAAACGGAACCAAAAATTAAGAATCTAAATACACGGTTAGATTTGGCATATCAAAGAACCCCAATAATTCAATTTTTGATGAAATCAAACAAAGTTTAATTTTGGACCCTTTGGACCTCAATGTGGACCAATTTAAAAACGGGGCCCAAAATCCAAAAACTAAATACACGGTTAGATTCAGCATATTAAAGAACCCCAAGAATTCAAGAGTAAAACCCCATTGAAATTGGTCAAGAAATAAGCAATTTATACGAAGTATCTTCTTTTGCACAATACTGTGCAATTAAATATTTCTTGCTATTGCACAATACTGTACAATTGACAATTTCTTGCTATTGCGCAA